TCTTTGTTTCAGAGTGTCTCAGTATGTAGACTAGGCTGACCTCAAAGTTGGTATCTTTCTGCCTCACTTTCTGTAGCGCTAGGATTACAGGTCTATTCAAAGCACTACTGGCTGCCTTTTTGCTTTTATTTTTTAAATAGTGCTGGGGATCAAATCTAAGGTAAGTACTCTACTATTGAGCTACAACTTCAGTCCCTTGTAATTCTTTTGCTTCAGCAGGATCTTCATTTTGTTTGTTTCTTTCTTATTTTTTCTTTTTTGGTACTAGGGATTGAACCCAGGGCCTCTACCACTAGAACTCTGCCCCCAGTCCTGTTTCAATAGGATCTTTCTTTCCTTTAACTTCCTTTTTTCATTAACTCACATACTTCCAAAAGGCATTTCCTTTTTATATTTTATCTCCTTTTCTGAACTGCTAACTTTCCCAAATTATCACTTTAGGTCTGCCACATTTTCAACTCCTTGATTTTTTAGTTAGTACTACAATCTATCAGATTTTAGATTGCTTTAGAGAATTTGCATTTATGTGGGGGATTTCTCTTTCCATAAGTATTTTTCTTTTGTCAAACTTAGGCTCCCAACTCCTATATCTTCTTCCATGTAGTTTTTCAAACTACTTCTTTGAAGTCTGAAACATGAAAGGTAGTTCTATTGGAATCTGATGTTTCATGTTGAAAAGTAATTTGAAGTGCAGAATATAGTAATGCATTGCTTCATGATGGAAACACATTCAGAAATATGCTGTTACGTAATTTCATCATTGTACAAACCTCATAAGGTATTGTTACACAAACCCAGATGGTATAGATGATTACATATCAAGACTCTAAGAAATAATCTATTGCTTCAGGTTACATATATATATATATATATACACACACACACACACACACACATATATACAGCATGTTACTGTATTGAATACTGTAGGTAGCTGTAACATAATGCTAAGTATTTTTGTATCTAAACATAGAAGACATACAGTAAAAACAGTATGATATAAAAAACTAATTATTTATATCAGGCTCTTACCACTGTACTTGGCTAGTGAGTGAGCTGATAAATGTGAATATAAAAGTGTAGGACATTATTATTCACTACTGTACACTAGAAGATACTATTCCCTTATATTACATTGGATTTAGAGAAAGTATTTTTCTTTCTTCAATAAGACATTAACCTTGGCCTACTTTTTTACTTTATAAACTTATTGATTTTCATGAACTTTTTATAATAACACTTAGCTCAAAATATAATATTTTATTTTAAAGTATGCTAAAGCTTTTACATTTTTCTTTTGTTATTATAAAGGTGATGTTACAGAAGGGTTACAGTTTTTTAACCTCAACTTTTTTGTTAAGAACTAGACAAAAGCACACGTCAGCTTAGTCTTATACATGGTCAGGATTATCAGCATCCCCATCTCCCACGTATATCTTGACCTACTAGAAGGTGCTTAGGAGCAGTAACAGAAGTAAAACTTCATCTCCTATGATAGCAAGGCCTTTATTTTTTAAGGTACTTCCTAAAGGAGCTGCCTGAGTCTATTTTAGAGTTAGTTTTTGTATGTATGTGTATGCTGGTATCGGGGCTTGCACTGGCTTGTTCATGTGTATGCTGGTATGCAGGCTTGCACTGGCTTGGCTTTTTAGCTCATGGTTGGTATTCTACTACTTCAGCCACACCTGCCATCTGGCTTTTTGTTGGTTAACTGGAGATAGAGTCCTGCAGACATTTTCTGCCCAGACTGGTTTTAAACTTCAATCTTCCAGGTTTCAGACTCCTGAACAGCTAGGGCTGGTGCCCAGCAACAGCTAATTTTTTGTAAGTAGGAATATATTCTAAAATAATGATAAAATGTATAGTAAAGTAACATTACCCTATGACACCGAAACCATCTAAATACTCTATGATGCTTTTATAACAATGAAATTGCTTAATAATTCATTTCTCAGAAAGATCCTTGATGTGAAGAGATAATACTGGCAATGCAGTAGGTTTGTTTACATCAGCATCACAAGTATGCAAGTAATGCCTTGTATTAGACAATATAATATGTACTGTATTACCAGGTAATAGGAATTATCCATCCCCATTATAAAGTTATAGAACATTATACTTGTGGTCCATTGTGAACTAAAACATTGCTACCTAGTGAAAAACCATATTCTCTTTCTTCTATTAACTCTTTTTTTTGGTCGTGGGTCTTGAACTCTGGGCCTGGGCGCTGTCCCTCAGCTCTTCAGCTCAGGGCTAGCACTCCACGACTTGAGCCACAGCACCACTTCCAGTTTTCTGATATTTAATTGGAGATAAGAGTTTTACGGACTTTCTTCCCAGGCTGGCTTTGAACCATGATCCTCAGATCTCAGCCTCCTGAGTAGCTAGGATTATAGGGTGAGCCACCAGCACCCGGCTTCTATTAACTCTCAAAGTATGGGTTATATATGGTTTTATTTTATTTACTTCTTGATCTATATTTCTGGGTGGGTAAGTAAATAAATTTTAACTTAGAATTTATTGGATAACTTGGATAATACTGTTATTCAAAGGTCTATCAAGTCTTTTTTGGAGTAATAATGGGGCTTGAACTCAGGACCTCTCTACCACTTGAGCCTTAATCACAGTTCTTTTACCTTCAGTTATCCTTTGAATAGGCTCTTGCATTTTTACCCAAGTCTGGCCTGGAGTGTAAAATTCCTAGTTACTTACTTAATGACTGATTGATTTGAAAATGTGTGTGTGTGTGTGTGTGTGTGTGCTGGTACTGAGGCTTGAACTCAGAACCTTGTGATCTTACTCTGCTTTTCCAACCATGGCTGGCGCTCTACCAGTTAAGCCTCACCTCACCTCCACGTCTAGCTTTTAATTGAAGAGTCTTGAAGATTTGTCTACCTAGGCTTGTTCCAAGCTTGATCCTCAGATCTCAGCCTCCTGGGTATGGAGGATTATAGGCATGAGCCACTAGCCCCCAGCCAGTCTTATTTATGCCACCTGCATGAATGGGAGGACAGACATATGCCACCATGCCCAGATTTACTTACTTTTTCCTGGGTTGGCCTTGGACAATGATCCTCCTTATTTCTGTGTCCCAAAGTAGCTAGAGTAATTAGTTGTGAGCCACTGTGCTCAGCCTCAAATCTTTTTATTCTTGTTATTACTGCTAGTGATTTGTCCATATTTTATAAAAATATACTCAAAACACCACAAGATATAAAGAAAAGGGCTAAGTTTATGGATATCTCTGTTTTGAGGTAAATCAAGTAACTTTCTTAAAACTCCATACTATGAGTAACAAATTCAGAAATCTCTCATATGCAATGATTAATATAATTATGGTACAATCTGATATGATACACTTCAACTTGTGATTTTATACCAAACATAAGTCTTCTTGGCCCATATATAAAGAATATTCAATATAATAAATAGTTGGGTGCTGGTAGCTCCACCTGTAATCCTAGATACTCACAAAGATGAGATCTGAGGATCATGGTTCAAAGCCAGCCAGTCAGGAAAGGCAGTAAGACTCTTATCTCCAATTAGCCACCAAAAAGTGGGAAGTGGAGGTATGGATCAAGAGCATAAGCCTTGAGCAAAAGAGCTCAAGGACAATGCCCAGGCACTAAGTTCAAGCCCTAGACCAGTACACAGACACACATACAAAATCTAACATGAGCAAATGAGCAAACAACAACAACAAAAATAAACTGTACTTACAGAACTGTATTAAAGAAACAACAATCTACTTTTCTTTGGTATTTTTTCTTTTTCATAATAATTAAAGACACAAATGATAATAATTAAATGACACAAATGATTTTCCTACCTTAGGTTTTGGTAAAGTTGATTAATCTACCTATCCACTATTCACTGAAGACCATTAACTTGCCTAACCATAGGGATACAAAACTGACTACGACATAGTTTGTACCTGACAGACAAGTAAAGAATGTGAGTAAAATACAAAGGATTAAAACCAGACTAATATTCTTTCCAAAAAGTTTGAAACCAAGCAAAATTGTATGTACTCTTTTTCCTATATGATATATACTATTTTTGAGACAAGGTCTTACTATGTAATTCTATCGAGCCTTGAACTTGTGATCCTTCTGCTCCAGCTCCTTTAAATGCTGGGACTGCAACCATTGCCAACATACCCATATCTATACCACATTCATTTTTAAGGGTACATATATATGGAGGGTAAACAAAAAGCATGTGAGAAAATTATAAGATCAGATTTAAGACAGGTTAGCTCTTTACAGGGTTGAGTGGGGAGGCTAAAGGGGATAAAATGAGGAAGGAATACAAAGGAAATTTGAATTTTATCTACAGTAGTAGATTTCCTTAGGATAAGTTAAAATCTAAAAAAAATATTACAAACTGTTCAGAAATGACAAAGCAGGGCTGGGGACGTAGCTTAGTGACAGAGTACTTGCTTGATATATTGGAGGTCTTGGGACCAATCCCCAAAACCACTAACAAAACAAAGCAAAATAAAAGACAACAAAACAAATAATCTGACAAAACTATGTGATAAGATATGTATGTTTGTTATATAACCTCTATTCCATATGCTTAAAGTATTCTGCAATTTTTTAAATAATTTATTTGAAGCCTAATTCAATTAATTGGTGATATTTTTAGAATTAGTTGTGAACTTCAGAACGTGTTCATATTGTATAATAAACAGAATACTAAGAACTGCTTTTAGAAATAAGAAAAAATATAGGCTGTTAACTTGGCTCAGTGGTAGAGCGCTTGCCTTGCATGCACAAGGCCCTGGGTTTGATTCCTCAGCACCACATAAGCAGAAAAAAAAAAAACCGGAAGTGGCGCTGTGGCTCAAGTGGTAGCATGCTAATCTTGAGCTGAAGAGCTGAGGGACAGCACGCAGGCCCTGAGTTCAGGCCCCAAGACTGACAAAAAAAAAAGAAAAAAAGAAAAAATATCCCATATAATATGGCACATAATTTTAGATGAAGGGTTATACATACCTGTAAGTGTTAAATAAGCAGCAATGTACCGCTTTTCCAATCCATCTCTAATAGTCTGAACTGCACCAAAAAGTGGAGGTATGATCATAATCAGGTTACTCACTGTATTCCCTACAGAAGAAAAGATGAGAAGATATTTAGATTTATCAATAACACTTAAAAATAAAGATACATTAATTTGGCCTTTAACAATAAAATGTGGCTTCTCAGAAATATGGTAGAATGATATCTTCAAAGTGTACAAGAAAAAATTTCTATACTTAGCAAAAAATTCTTACCAAAAAATCCAAGTAAATCAAAATAAAATCTGCCAAATAAATTCACTTATTAAATTTGTTTATTTTGCTAGAAATGTTACTCATGTAAATAAATGTCAATATGGGAGATAAACAATACAAGTAAAATAAATGATAAATCTTAGAATTTTCTACAAATTCTAAGATCATTTCAGAAAAAGTACTCAAAAATCCCTTCATGATAAAAGCCCTGCAGGAATAGAAGAAACATATTGCAACATAATAAAGGTTATCTATGATAAATATACTTTATAATAACAGCTATCTACAACATACTTATATTAAACACATACTACATGGGGCAAGACTGAAACTATTGCCTCTGAAGTCAGACAAGACAAGAATCATTTTTCTCCCATTCTTTAGGCTGTCTTTTTTTTTTTTTAAGCTTGTTAACAGCATCCTTGGCTATACAGAAACTTTTTAGTTTACTGTGGTCTCATTTATCAATTCTTTCTTTGATTTGCTGTGCTTCTGAATCTCTGCACAGAAACTTCCTGCCTGTGGGCTGGGAAGGTGGCTCAGTGGTAGAGCACTTGCCTTGCATGCATGAGGCCCTGGGTTCGATTCCTCAGCACCACATAAGCAAAAAGAAAAAAGCCAGAAGTGGCACTGTGGCTCAAGTGGTAGAGCACTAGCCTTGAGCTGAAAAGCTGAGGGACACATTCAGGCCCATGAGGCCTTGGGTTCGATTCCTCAGCACCACATAAGCAAAAAGAAAAAAGCCATAAGTGGTGCTGTGGCTCAAGTGGTAAAGCACTAGCCTTGAGCTGAAGAGCTGAGGGACAGTGCTCAGGCCCAGAATTCAGTCCCCTCAACCTGACCCCCCCCCAAAAAAAAAGAAAGAAAGAAACTTCCTGCCTGTACAGAGGAGTCCTAATTTCTCCTCTTCCTTCCTGTAATAATTTAATGGTTTCAGGTCTTGAAGTGATTCATTTTGAATTGATGATACTGGTGCAAGATGATAGATAGGAATCCAGGTTCCGTTTTCTGTATGTAAATATCCAAATTTTTCAACATCATCTGTTGAAGAAGTCTTTCTTCCAGACTATGTTTTTGGCTCCCTTATGGAATAGTAAATGGTTTTAGGTCTGTGGGTTTATTTCTGTGACTTCTATTCTGTTCCATTGGTCCTCAGGCCTGTTTTTGTGCCAGTACCAAGCTGTTCTCATTACTATAGTTCTGTAATATAGTCTAATGTTTGGAATTATTCTACCTCTAGCACTACTTTTCCTGTCCAGGATTGTTTTTATGATTTGAGGCCTTCTGTGGTTCCATATGAATTTTTGTATTGTTTTCCTTGTCTCAGTAAAGAATGGAGATTGGGTTCTGATGGGCACTGCATTGAATTTGTTGACTACTTTGGGCAAGACTGCCATTTTCCCAATGTTAATATTCTGCCAATCAAGGAACACAAAAGGTCTTTCTACTTCTTTATATCTTTTCCAATTTTCTTCAAAATCTTACAGTTTTTTTTGTACAGGTCCTTCATGTCCTTGGTTTGGCTGATCTCTAGATTTTATTTTAGGGAAGAATATTACAATTACAGTTGCTTTCCTGATTTCAGTCTTCATCTTCTTCTTATTGGCCTAAAGGAAAGTTACTGTTTTTTGTGGTTTGATCTTATACCCCGCTACCTTGCATACATCTGACAAAAGCAATATCTAGAATATACAGAGAGCTTAAGAAACTAAATCCTCAAAGAATCAATAAGTTATCATTAATAATTAATAATTTACCTGATTAATAAATGAGCAGATGAGCTAAATAGAGAATTACCAGAAGTAAAAATGACCAACAGACATATGAAGAAATGCTCACTAAGGATACAAACAATGCCAGGTGCCAGTGGCTCACACTTGCTATCCTAGCTCCTCAGGAGGTTTGAGATCTGAGGCTCATGGTTCAAAGCCAGCCTGGGCAGTAAAGTCCCATGACACTCTTACCTCTAATTAATCACCAGAAAACCAGAAGTGGTGCAGTGGCTCAAGAGGCAGAGTGCTTGCCTTGAGCTGAAGAGCTGATGGACAGCACCCAGGCCCAGAGTTCAAGCCCCACAACCGACCAAAAAACAAACAAACAAAAAAAACCCAACACAATAATAGATGCTGGCAAGGATGTGGGTGAAAAGGACTTTAGTATATTGCTGGTAGGAATGTAAACTTGTTCAACCACTCTGAAAAGCAGTATGGGAGCTCCTCAAAAAATTAAGCACAGAACCACCCTATGAACCAGTTAACACCACTACGGAACTTATACTTGCAATCCAAGCCAAAAATAGAGAGGATCAGGTAGGAGGATTGTGATTCAAGCAAAAAACTAAGCAAAACCCTATTTCAACAAATAAGTCAGGCTGACTGCTTCACACTATAACTTTAGTAATCTTGAAATATAATTTCTTAAGAGGTGAAAATAACATTTCTTCTATCTCTTCCTTCTCTCTTATTTATCTTCCCTCCCCTTCCCCCATCCTTACTTTTTCTTTCTGACAGGACCTTATTCTCTTGTAAGAAAATAAGCTGTATTCCAGACTGGCATATAACTTGCAATATAGCCCAGACTGGCCTCAAACTCATTACTATCCTGTCATAGCCTTCTAACTGCTGGGATTACAGGTGTGTATCACCTTACCCATCTTTATTATTGCTATATTTTCTTTGTGACATATTCATTCAGGTTACTTAATGATTCTAAACACTTATGTTTTTTCATGTGAAGATCAGACATACTACCTATTATAGTGACAAAATACTGTGTAAGTTGAAAGAGATACTAAGCTATCACTGGAGACCAAGGTTCAAGGGACAAGAGAGAAAAATGCTCACTGTAGTCATGTCCCTTACATTCTTCCCCATCATCACAGCCATATTTCAGGCCCCTATCTTTGACTTCCATGATAAAAAGTAAATCAAGTAAAAAGCAGAAGCATAATACATGTAAATGTAGCATTATATATGAGAAAATTTGATAAAAAAGTTTCACTTTTGATGTAAATTATAAATATATATTTATTTATTTAATTTTAAAGGTATACTCATATACAATAAAAAGTTTACCTTCTAAAATCTGGGGTTTTGTTTTGTTTTTTTGTCAGTTGTACCACTTTAAGTCACAGCACCACTTCTGGTTTTCTGGTTAGCTGGAGATAAGTGTCTCATGGACTTTCCTGTCTGGGCTGGCTATGAATCACAATCCTCAGACCTCAGCCTCCTGAGTAGCTAGGATTACAGGCATGAGCCACTGGTGCCCAGCCTTGTTTTGTTTTTGGTGCCTGTACTGGAGCTTGAACTCAGGGGCTCAAGCACTCACTTGTGGGTTTTTTGTTTTGTTTTTATTCTTGCTCAAGGTTAGTGCTCTACCACTTGAGCAATAGCCTCTACTGTGGCTTTTTGCTGGTTAACTGGAGATAAGAGTCTCAGAGACTTATTCTGTCTGGTCTGGCTTTGAACTGAGATCCTCAAATATCAGTCTCCTGAGAATCTAAGATTAGGATTACAAATGTGTGCCACCAGCACCTGGCCTGCTTAAAAAAAAAAAAAAGAAAAGAAAAACACAGAATATGCAAGGCTGTAGGTTAGATCTCCAAAATAAAATAAAACAAAACAGAAAGAACAAAAGAATAAAGGGGAGGAGAGGAGGAAAGAAAGAGTAAAACAATAAAAGTATATTATAAATGAATATAACACAAAAATTACAGCATAAAACTACCATAATTAAAGTTGATACAAAACGATATCATAATTAACTCTTACTTTGGTACAGCTAGTGAAATTTTCACAGAAGAGATAGCAGATGAGGGTGCCTTAAAAGATGACTAGGACTTAGGAATGTACAAAGAACAAACAGTACTCAGGGCAGAGATAACATAAATGTGTGCAAAATCAAGAAGGAACATGATGTAACTAGGAAACCATGAGAAGTAACTTACATTATGTCTAGGGACAAACTGTATCAGGAGGTAAAGCTACTAAAATGGAAGGAAGATGAACATGGAAGGCATATCTGTGATCTCCCAAACAAACTGAAGGAAGTTTGTACTTTATACTAGAGGATGAAATTGCCAAAAAATAATGCAGTGTAAAGATGCAATGATAATTCACTTTAAGATAAGCTTGAATAACTGGAGATTGCCAGCGGACAAACAAGGACACTTCTGCAAAAACTCTAAGTTTAATGTAGTGATAAGGTCTCAACCAAAGTGGCTGTGAGATGGAAAGGAGAAAAGAGGAGGCATAAATTTGACTAAGATTTTTATGGTAGAATACAATCCCACCTTGCATTTCAATTGGTTATGCAAAAATATAACCAAAAGTATGTCATTATACTTTTAAGTAATTCTGCCACTAAATTTACCTACTTTCTTTCCATAGAAAAAAGTAACTTTAAACATGCAAGACCATCTCACCCACACAGATTCTGTATAATTAAATTGCTTGCATGGTGGCTGGTACATAAAAAGTACTAATAAATTTGAGAAGTTATACTGATACCATTATTTTGGCAACATTGAAGCATGAACTCAGAATATCTCATGTTTTTTTAACCTGCTTGATCAGCTGGTACTCTACCACTTGAATTACACCTCTAGTGTCATGGACTTTTTCTTTTTTAAGATGGCTACAAACTTCAATCCTCTGAATCTCAGCCTCCTGGGTAGTTTATAGATATGAGCCACTGACACTGAGCCACTAATATTTTTTATGTTACCAAAAAGTCACAAAAAATCATTTTCCCTAGAAATACGTATATCCCTTAATTAATAAAAGTCAGCATTTCTTCCTTGAAATCTTGGCATGAATTCTCAGAATCCCTGAG